AGCCCTGAGCTAACATCTGTGCCCATATTCCTCTATTTTGTATATGGGATGCCACCACAGCATGGCTTGATGAGCGGTGCGTAGGTCCACGCCTGGGATCTGAACCTGCAACCCCTGGGCCACTGAAGCAGAGTGCGCAAACTTAATCACCATGCCACCAGGCTGGCCCAACATGCTGGGATTTTTGTCACCTCCATACTCAGAATGCTTTTTCTGAGTAGCAAACATCCCCTCACTGAAAGTGTGAGGTAAAGACTGGGATCAGGATCTTCAGAGGAACTTGAGGCTCCTGAAGGTGACCCCAGGAATGGACTGTGTGGCACTGATTTTGCACATGGGGACTTCATCAGTGGCCCTGACTAAAGAGCAGAATGACTTCCCTCATCCCATCCCTGAACTTTGAGGCCCTGCCTGGGGCACTGGTGATAAAGAGCTTGGTTCCTGCGCTGGAGGTGCTCACAGGCCAGACAAAGAGACAAGAGAGGCGGACTGATGATGAGGACGTGGTGTGATGGGCACTTTGAGGAGGGGAGCAGAGGGACTCTGAGGCAGAGGAGCCCTCAGAGGGGAAGCATGATGTTGAAGTCGGATCTTCCAGGAGGCTGGGGTGAGGGCTGGCCAGAGATGAGTAAGTGAGGAGGAAAATGGAAAGTGATGAGGTTGGAGATGTGGGAGGGGGTCATGTCACACAGGACCCGTGGACCCGGGGAAGGACTAAGGATTTTATGTCATACACCCAATAGGCCATTCATTCGGGCAATATATTTTGAGAGCCCACTCTGTTTTAGTACTGAGGATAATATAGCAAACAAGACAGAAAAGGTGCCAGCCTCATGGAGCTTACCTTCTAGTGGGGGAGGTAGATTATTTATTGCAGGTCGTCAATGAAGTCAATCATATAATTCCACGTGGTACTAAGTGCTAGGAAGAATCTCAGCTCTGTGGAGGAGTGGACCTCTCAAGCTGTGCTGAGGGCAGAATTGGGTGCTAAGGATACAAATGTAGTCGGTAAACGTGTTTCAAATGAAGGTTTGGCCTCCTTTTGTCTTCCAGGTCTGGGATCAGCCAACCACTGACCACAGGCCAAAACTCGCTCACCACCTTTTGTACAGCCATAAGCTAGGAATGGTTTTTATATTGTAAGCAGTTGAAAAAGAATCAGAGGAAGAAGATCTCATGACACATGAAAATCATATGAAATTGGAATGTAGTGTCCATAAATAAAGTTTTATTGGAGCACAGCCACACTCATTCATTTACATATCGCCGAGGCTGCTTTTGCCCTTCACAGGCAGAGTTGGATGGTTGTGACAGAGACCATATGGTCCACAAAGCAGGAAATATTTACTTTTTGGCCCTTTACAGAAGAAGTTTGCCACCCCCTGTTCTAGGTCCTCCTAGTACTCTGCAAATGCCTCCTCCAGATTTGGCCCAGAAAACTCCTCCCTCTCAGGGAGGTGGAGGGAGATGGAGAGCGGAAGAGAAATTTCTGTTCCTCCTGTGCTTCCCTTAGGCCAGGAGGCGGCTCCTCAGCCTGCAAACCCCTGGCCTGGTGCTCTGGTGCGTAGTCTGGGACAAGCACGGATTTCTGGAGGCCCCTTGGTTCCTGCATTCCCATTTGGGAGCTTAACTCAATATTTTTTAGTACATTGAGACAGTGGGATTCAGTGATACCAAGCTACATTTATTGACAAGGCAATATTTCCATGTCTTATTGAGTAAAACACGACAACAACAAAATCAGTTATAGTATATATCCGTTTACATCAAATTGTATATATAAGCTTTTACATGTGTGTGAAGAGATGTCTGGATATTGAATCCCCAGAAGGTTAACAATGTTTATCTCTAAGTCCTGATGTTTTGGGTGACTTTTTTTTAAAACTTCCTACTTACTTTTTTGTACTACTTGGGTTTCTTTTTAAAACCATTAACATGAGTCATCTTAATCAGCAAAGAGAAATCCAGCTATTTTAATTTCAAAGAATAAATAAGAATGGTTGCATCCGCATGTGGGTGATAGAAAGATTTATGTGGTTATGATGTAACTGTTAGAGATGTGCGTCCCCATACAGCCCATCACTAATAGGAGCAGGGGAGTGATGCCTTCAGGATGAGGGAGATAAATAAGAACATGGTAGGAGGTGAGAAAAGAGGTGGAAGTCAGATCTGACATGATCATCATTGTGAGGGATAGAAACTTCCCAGTATATAAATTTTGTGGGTTCATTTTTGGCGTTTGGAAAGAAGGGGTGTAGATCTTTTCCTGATATCCCCCTCTCTATGCTGTCTTGAGAAACCAAAAGTGTGAAGTCGGGATATTAAAAAACGGTATCTTAGCGCCACCTAGTGTCCATACTCTGTCATTTCACCCCCATGTCTCAGCGGAAGACTCCTTCAGATTCTTTGTTTGATGTCCCTGCTCTGGTGGCATTTGCGCGGCAGGCAGCGCGATGCCTCCCAGGGTTCTGCGGGGCAGTGGGAATGCCTCATTAATTTATCCCTTCCTTCCTGTCTCAGTCACACAAAGCGAATCTCTCTGACTGAAGTGTGGTTTGGCAGTTGAAGAGCAAAAGGACGCCTCCCTGTCAAGACCAATCTCCACTTTCCTCCAGCAGCCGGGTTCCTTAAAGCTGCAGCCACGCTTCTCTGGCAGGAAAGCCATCCTGCTCCCCAGGGCTGCCTTGAGCTTGGGGCTCCTGGGGAGTCTGGCTCGTCGGGGGCTCCCAGGAGATGCCAGAACCAAGCCATGGTCCCCGGCCTATCTCCTCCAGTATTGCTCACGTCCTTCTCACCCAGCTCCTACCCTCAAAGCCTGAGCCTCCTCCCCACTGCCTCCCTCTCCCTCACGCCCCTCTTTGTCCAGCACATCACCAGCCTCTCGGTTTTACCTCTAACTATTCACTCTAGAACCTGCCATTCTGCCCTCTCCCCTGGTCTACACGCAACTGACCGTCTACAGCACCTCCTATCATGCCTCCTTTCTCCACTCTTGGCTCCTCTAGGTTCTTCTACGCTCAGCTGAAGCTCAAGGGATCTTTGTAGAGCACAAACCTGATTGCGTCATTCTCTGGTTCAGATCTTTTTGGTGGCTTCCGAGTGCTCGTAGGATGAAGACCAGAATTTTCATCTGGGCCTGTGAGGCCTCCCACTCCAGCTGCACCCGGCGCTGCTTGCCTCCACCGTGTTCTCTGTGCCTTGATCCAGCCTCACTGGCTTCCTTTTGGCCCCTCAGGCCTTCTGCCTCCTGTGGTCCCTTGGCCTGCCCTCCCCTCCTCCACTCACTCCCACCCAGTTAATCTGAACTCAGCTCTCAGATGTACTTTCCTCAAGGGAACTTTTTCCTGGGCTCCATAGCTTGAGGCAAATCCTTCTATAATGTGCTTGGAAAACACCACATGCCTCTCCTCCCCTCCATCCCTCCCGTCCTGGCGTGTAATATAAGCTCCATGTGTGTGCTTCTTGGGTAAATCTCCATCTTTCCCTTTAGACCAGTGGTTCTCAACCAGGGGCGACTGGTACCCAAGGGGACATTTGATGTTATCTGGGAACATTATCAGTTGTTATAATTTATGGGGTGAGTGCTACTGGCATCTAGGGGGTAGAGGCCAGGGATGCTGTTAAATATCCTACAGTGCACAGGACAGTCCCCCAAGAGCAAAGAATTGTCTGTGCCAAGAGGTCCATAGTGCCAAGGTTGAGAAACCCCGCCCATCCCCCATGGAGGCAGGAACCACTGCCACCGGGAAGGAACACATTTGGAGGCCTAAAATGTCACTATTAAGGGCTGACTTGATATTATCAACGCTTTAATAGGTTTGTCCATAGATAAATGTAGAACCGCCATGTCCTTTCAAATCTGCCAGCCACAAGGAATGAAAGGTGAATTAGCCTGGCTTTCCTTATGCCCACTTCAGGATAATTAGACGAGGTACTGCTGGTCCAGAGAAAGTCATCCTTGTGTTTCTTGTCCTTTGCTTTAAAATTATTTCAAGTCTCCTTTTAAATTATATTTGATTATACTCTGATCTATTTTCAATAAAATTTCATCCACAATTTTAGTTAGTTGGGAGACTCCACAGGTCAAATGGCCTGGCTTCTTCAAAAAATTCTTCATGAAAGAAAGGCCAGATGACGATGCCAGATTAAGAGGCTAACGCTTAATAACTAAGTGCAGCTTGTGATCGGGCGGGGGGGGGAAACGGCTATATACAGTCTTTTGGAGACAATCGGGGAAATTTGAACGTGGACTATGTATCAGATAATATTATTGAATTAATGTTTATTTCTTAGGTATGATAATGCCATTATGGTTATTGTTTTAGTCAGCTCAGGCTGCTATAACAAACTGCCATAGACTGGCTGGCTTATAAACTACAGAAATTTATTTCTCACGGTCCTGGAGGCTGGGAAGTCCAAGGTTGAGGTGCCAGCAGAGTCACTGTCTGGCGAGAGCCCACTTCTGGTTCACAGACCGCCGTCTCCTCACTGTGTCCTCTCCCGGCAGAAGGGGCGGGGGAGCTCTCTGGGCTCTCTTTTATAAGAGATTCACCCTCATGACCTAATTGCCTCCCGAAGGCCCCACCTCCAAATACCATGACATTGGGGATTAGGTTTCAAAATATGAATTTGAGGGGGACACAAACATTCAGTCCCTTGCAACTCTATAGGACAATGTCCTTGTTCTTCAGAGACGGAGGCCGGAGTACTTAAGGGTGAAGTGTCAGGATGTCCACAAGTTGCTTTCAGTGACTTAGCAGGAAAACGTGTGTGTGCTTGTGTGCGTGTAGAAAAAGAGAGAGAGGGAGAGAGAACAGATGTGGCAAAACGTTGACAGTAGGTGGATCTAGGTGAATGAGTATGGGCGTTTCCTGTACTACCATGTCAGCTTTTCGAGGTTGGACTCTTGAAGAAGACAAGGCAGGTGACTGAATGGCATGTTGTGCTTGGACGGCCCCTGAGCTGGGAGCCCCCCTGAGCTTGGCTGTATGTGTCTTCAGTTTGCAGCTCTCCACCCATCCACATGAAGGTGCAGCCTCTGAACCAGACGGCACTGCAGGTGTCCTGGAGCCAGCCGGAGACCATCTACCACCCGCCCATCATGAACTACATGATCTCCTACAGCTGGACCAAGAACGAGGACGAGAAGGAGAAGACGTTCACAAAGGACAGCGACAAAGACTTGGTAAGACCTACCGTCCCGAGTCGGGGTGCCTGCTGCCCTGCCGGGGTGTCAGGCAGCTATGAGAGGGCCCCCTGCCGTGTCTCTTTGCCAGGCCCACATGGTGTGATTTATGTGTCATGCCAGCCTCACACTGCCTGCTGAGGGCTCTACTGCCATGGCTGTGCCACGGTGCAGTGGCTACCAGTGTGAGCTGTGGCCGGAGCCTGTCTGGGCTACATCCTGCCCTTGCACTTACCAACCACATCACCAGGAAAAGCTAGTTAATTTCTTTGTAATTGGGCCCTTCAAGACTAACTGCTTTTTCTTTCGTTATTAAAAAAACAGAAAGCCTCCATGAAGCCCTTTTTATCTGATATTGTAAATATTAAATGTTATACAAATGTACAACAGTCCTGGCACATAGTAAGCGCTATCTAAGTCCTAGCTATTATTATTACATTTATTCCTCCTCCTCTTCCTCCTCTTTCCTGACTACTACTACTGTCACCATCACCAAGCAGTTGTCCACAGTCTGCACTATTCCCTTTTGTCCCATCTATCTACCTTACACATTCTCACTACCTGGTGGACCCCTGTGACCATGTAACTTTTAACTACTGATCTCAGACTTGCAGATGCTATAAAATACGATCTCACTGTGAGCTATACATGCCCAATTCAACTTCTCATCTTAAAATGTACATAAATGTCTAGTGGCCGACACCCAACAAAGCTTTCAGAACAGATGTTAGTAGAAGCCGTCTCTTCCCCTGTAAAAGTGAACCCTCCAACAAGCACTGGTCTTTAAGTCTTTGCATAGAAACTCAAAGTGACACATTTGGGTTTGAAAGCCTTGCATTTATTGTTAATCAAAAGAAGGCTTTGGAATAATGAAACCCATAATTGTATATGCACATGAAAAATGCACTAGGACAGAGTGGGATCCTTAATGACTGTTATCACCTTTTTTCTCCCAATACAGAGTCCCCGGGGCCCATTCAATCAGTTATAGAATAATACTTTGCATATTCCTTTAGATGAAGATTCTTTTACTTTATTTCCATTTATATGTTCAATTTCCACGCTAGACATTGTTATCTGGGTCACATTAGGGGATGATAAGCTTCATGAAATCAGAGAGGAATCTATTGAAAGGCACCCAAGGTTATGATGTGTTTTAACCTTTCTCTTGTCACTACTGGAAGTCCATAAGGGATTTTTCTCTTTTTGAAGTAAAGATGGCTTGCATTAATCAGCAGAAACTATCTAGGCGCTTATGCGGTTTCTTGTTCTAAGTGGAAAATAATTAAACATGCAAAGATGAATAGATACTGGCTTGGAGTGAATTCTAATAAATCCCTGCATAGATGGAGCGAAGATTTTCCTCTGAACAGAAGACGGGGTCAGAGTCTTAGAGAATGAGGCATAAATTAGTTTCAGAGAAAGAGAGAGATGTAGAGAAAACCAGGCTTTGACAGCAAGTTGTTTTTTATAAGAATTTCTAGGGGTGGTTATTTTCTTTTGGGACACACAAAATTAATTTTCTTCATTTCTCAAGAAGTCAAGAGTGCTGACTTAGTGGCAACAAAGCTCTTCTCTAACTTATGGTTATTATGGCCCAGAAACCTAAAAGTAATACTTAAAACATGGGTGTAGCATCTTCCAGTTTACATCCCTCTTCCACGTCCTTGCTACAAACCTGTGGGGCAGAGGTTATTACCTACCTTTTCCAAAAGAGAGAAATGAGGCTTCAAGTTAAGTAAACTGACCCCAACCTACTGCTCTCACCAGGAATCCGTTTGCCAGGCAATGGCAGCAGGTGTGGCCGCAGTAACGCTTTAATACCCGGTCAGAGGTTTTCAGTAGCTACATCGGGAAGACCCACTCAGTGGTTAAGCTCCCAGGACTGCTTTCTCTGCTTGGCCCAGAATACACGTTTCGATGACAAGACACTTCATCCATTAGGAAGTCTTTGAAAATCAGTTGCTTCTGTTTGTTTCTTCAGGAAGCAAGTGCTGCCTACTTTTTAGGTATTTTCCATTTTCTCAATTTAAAGGCTCTTGGAATAAAGCTTTGAGGAATGGGGCTCTGGATTTGGCTGGTGATGTTTGACCAAGGGCTGGCAAACTTTTTCTAGAAAGGGCCAGATAGTAAATATTTTAGGCTTTACAGGCCATACGGTCTCTGTGGCAGCTACTCGACTCTGCCACTATAGGGCGAAAGCTGCCATAAACAACGTGTAAAAGAATGGGCGTGGCTGTGTGCCAATAAAACTTTATTTACAAAAACAGACTGTGGGCGGGATTTGGCCTGTGGGCTGTAGCCTGCTGACTTCTGTGTTAGAGCAGTGGCATTCTTTCTGTTGTGTGGTATGGACTACCTATGAATAACGCTCGCCTCACCTGTGTTATACAGCACTCACACAAACCCTGTGAGGCAGCTATCATTCTGCTCACTTAACAGCTGAAAGTAGCAGAGGCCAAAAGACATTGAGCAACTGGCTTGGAATCACAGAGCTAGTGAGTGGCGTGACAAAGCAGGATCTTGTGTCATCTGACCTCTCCTCAGGTGTTCTTCCTAGCATCATGGCCCATGTTATCCATGGTCGAGGTACAGCGAGGCCTTTAAACTGCAAAGAAACAGACATGCAGAAATTTTGTTGTTGATGTTCTAATTCTAAACTCTGCATGGCTCTGGAAATTCAGTACACTTGACAATTCTAGAGGCTGTCTAGGGTAGATAATTACCATTTATAAGGTACAGTAGTTAGGAAAGAAGTCCAAGCCTTGTGAGTCTAAAGAGGGCTGAAGACACATTCCAAGCCGGAGTCAAGAATATGTGTCAAAACTAATTATGTTACTTCTCTTATCCCACACATTTCAGTGTTAGAAGCAGATTCCCTGACATAGTTATCTCTGAACGCTGTTACCTTTCAAAGGGAGCCTTTGGTCAGCAGGGAAGTATCGTGGCTGCCACGCTTTGCCGTGGGACCCAGAAACCTAGTAGTAATACTTCATGTTACTTTAGGTTTGGCTTTAGAAGGTAAGTGTGCGCCGGCCTTCAGACCAACTCACTGCCTGTTCTCTCTCCACCTGCAGAAGGCCACCATTAGCCACGTCTCACCTGACAGCCTTTACCTGTTCCGTGTCCAGGCTGTGTGTCGGAACGACATGCGCAGCGACTTCAGCCAGACGATGCTCTTTCAAGGTAAGGCCAGCTTCCCTTCTTCTCTGGCCTGGGGGGCCCCTTCTTCTTTAGGCTGTGTCTTTTTTCCTGGTAAGGGGCTTGGACGAAAGAAAACAAGCCTGGGGGCCCGCCGGGTGGTGCAAGGGGTTAAGTGCGTGCGCTCCGTTGCAGCGGCCCAGGGTTCGCTGGTTCGGATCCTGGGCGCGCACCGACACACCACTTGGCAGGCCATGCTGTGGCGGCGTCCCATATAAAATGGAGGAGATGGGCACGGATGTTAGCCCAGGGCCAGTCTTCCTCAGCAAAAAGAGGAAGATTGGCAGATGTTAGCTCAGGGCTGATCTTCCTCACACACAAAAAAAAAAAGATAAAAAAGAAAACAAGCCTGGCCTAAGAATCAGTGTGGGGTTTTGGGGTTTGAAATCACACCTGAAAAGCCTCCTCAGCAATTTAGGCCTGTCTTTTAGGTTGGGGGTGTCATAGGCCAGAAGGGGGGGAAGAAGAGCAAATCATTGATTATTTTTTTAATTATTGTTAATTTTCAACTGTGGGGAACCAAGTATTTGTCTAATGCTGCATCAGATCACAAAATCACTTCCTAGTCGTGTTGTGGAATGTCCCGTCTGGATGGCTAGCATGATTCAGTTAGCTGTTCTCTTAAGAACTAGAGCCCAGACAGATGAACACACCCTTCAAGCTTGCAAGCCAGACAAACAAGCCCCTTACAGGATCCTTGAGCTTCTTGAGAAATAGATATAATGTTCCTGCTGATTTAGAGTCTAGTAGAAAGTTCAGGGCCAGGACTAGAGTGAGGCAAGAGAGGCATTCTCCTTGGTACAAAATGTAAAGGAGCACCAAAAAACCCAGTAATCAGGATACGTTATTTTTTTTCTTTTTAATTTTTTATTTATTTATTTTTTCCCCCAAAGTCCCAGTAGATAGTTGTATGTCATAGCTGCACATCCTTCTAGTTGCTGTATGTGGGACGTGGCCTCAGCATGGCTGGAGAAGCGGTGCGTCGGTGCGCGCCCGGGATCGAACCCTGGCCGCCAGCAACGGAGGGCGTGCACTTAACCACTAAGCCACGGGGCCAGCCCAGGATACGTTATATTTTAACGGAATGTTTTTTAAAAGCAAAATCAATGCAAAAATTTCATGAAGAAAATATCAGAATTTTAAATAAAGATGGGATCCACTCTGTCTTACTTGTCCCAGCCTAATCTTGTCCCTGGTTCCAATAAAACTTTATTAAGAAAAATATGCAGCTGGCCCGTGGGCCTTAGTTTGCTGACTTGGTTTTGTGATATGCACTAGGACATAGAGGCATGGAGGGAGGGACTAGGGCATTGGGCTTCGCTCTGCTGGTCTGCGGTCCTCCCTGATAGGGTTCTTCACTTCTTGGATCCTGAGTTTCAGAGAAACCTACACATCAGACCAGTGGTTCTTACCCTTTTTGAATCATATATCTGATGGCAGCTTTGGACCTTTTCCCTGGAAAATGCCAGAATTTTCTGTATAACTTCAGGGGCCCTGTAAAGCCTGTAGGCCGTGCACTAGCGGCATCAGCATTGTGGGGAAACCTGTGAGAAATGCACCTTCATGGGCCCCTCCCAGACCGATTGCCTCAGGTCTCAGGGGGTGGGGACAGGAATCTGAGTTTAACCAAATGGCCCAGGTGACTGGCACGTACGTTAAAGACTGAGAAGTGCTGGTTTAGATCTGGGGCCCTGGAATGAGGGCCCCAAATTTGAGTCCTGGCTGCCTTTTAGTGTTTCTGCGACTCAGAGTGTTTATTAACTTCCCTAAGCTGCAATTTCACAGTCCAAAAAGTGGTAGTATCGATAGTAGCAACCTCACAGGGTCCTCAATGACATGGGTGATGCATGTTAAGTAATTAGTACAGTGCCTGGTACCAACTATAAATATCCCCTTAGTATTAGGTTTAATATAAAAAATAAATGATAGACCCAGGGTAAGAAGCCCTCCAGCCTAGATTCCCTCTAAGGACCCTTCTAGCTTTACAATTTTTATTTAGTATTTAACTGTTCTTTGCTAATGTTCACGTTATCTGATCCTTTCATTTAAACTAACTAAAATTGGCATGATTGTATTTTTTTCACAAATAAATCACACTCGCTGTGTCCACCTGTGCCCTGAATGTATTGGCCCCTTTGCCTATGTTGAGGAGGGTCCACAGGCTGAGGCCAGGTCTGTGTCGGCCCAGGGGAGAGAGAACAGGAGGCCAGAGTGGGGACTTGCTAAGGCTGGGGCCCTGGGGCTTTGGACACATAAGTCGTGATCAGGTCTCCCACGTGCTCCGACCAAGAGCCTGGAATCTGCAGAACTGCCTTTCCTGATTAATAGGCCCCTGAGCTTGCTGGCTTTTGTATGGACTTTGAAAAATTAAATGTTTGTAATGTAATATAATTCAAAAAGGCCTTGTCAGCCATAAATTCCAAGCACAGAATGTTTTAAATGTCTGATCACAGTAACTTGTTGAAAATGGCCAGTGTCTCCTTTGTCTACAGACTTTCTTTGTTCAGAGGTAGACATGAGTTTTTTACTCATTTTGTGTATCGATGTTTGTCCCTGTATACTGACAAAGGGGCGTGGATCCTTCACTCCTCCCACAATGACTGTAGCATCTTCCCTACGGCATCCAGTGGGCAGTGTAAAAACTAAATCTTCAGGTAAGCTAGCACACCTTTTCCAGTGAGCCTGGTAGGACTTTATGAGCAGTAGAGGCCAATGTACAAAACTGATCATCTCTTAGGACTTAAGTTTTAAAAGGGAAAGAAAAAAAGCTTAGAGAATTTTACAGACGCCTTGGTCAGAATAATTAGGTTTCCCAGTGGTAAGTTTACATCTGGTTTGGGACCATGAGGGGGCCACATGGAATATTTACATTATTATAGTAAATATAATAGTATTTATGTTCTATATAACATAATATTATATTTACCTTCCTGTAGTAAATAATAAAAATAATAATGCCAAGCAATATCTATAGAATGGCTCACAGAGCGTTTGCCTCTAAGTTATTTCATCTGACCTCGTGGCAGCTTGTCACGTCGGTGTTATTTTACAGATGGAGAAATGATGTTCGGGGTGACTGAGTAACTTGCAAAAAATCACTTGGCTGCTAAGCAGAATCCAGGTTTCTTATTCTAAATCCCAGTCATATATACACAGCAACAGACCACCCCTAAAGGGTAAATATTACCCTGTACCCCCCGTCTTCCACAAATGGATAAAAAGATTGATTACTAAGCCGTCAAAGCCTTTTTGCAATTCTCAACAGTCACGGAAAATCGGGATTATTCAGCTTTGTCTCTGAGCCACACACCCATTCGGCAGCCTGGCGAAGCCAACAGATCCTCTCTCAGAATGGTTTAAAATAAATAAGTAAAATACATAGGGAAGGAAACCAATTATGTTCAAATACAGTTGTCAAAATATTTTAAACAAACAAATCTGAAATGTAGTAATATATGCGCTTTTGTATTAAGATATTAAATGACAAGTGGTGGGTCTGTTAGCTACTGTGATTTCTGAGTGGTGGTGAACATAGATGATATTCCGAAATAGCTACAGCAACTCTTAAGGCAGTTTGAAAATATCCGATTTCAGAGACAAAGTCACAGGTTCTGTTAATGCAGCTGAGGTTAGTTGCCTGCTTCATGGTGGAAGGAAGGGAACATCTCAGTGAGCGCTTAGTGAGGACACAGATGTCATTGTTTTCCCTGTCCCTGAATTCCATGAGGCCCATGGACGTCAGGTTAAGCACTCCGGATCTGAAAGGTCCTGTAGAAACTTCCTAGTCACCACGGCTAGAACTGACCCCAGTGGACATTGTTCAAGATTAATGAAAAGCAGGCACGCTGATGGAGTGGCTGTTTAGTTTGTTGGCCTTAATTAGAGCACTTTTGTAAAGGGCAAGTGGAGCAGGTCTCCTGGGAACCTTTCTTTCTGTCTTAACGAAGGTAGGTGTGCACCTGTCTGAGGCAGTGCATGCAGGATCAATCCTGGAGCAACTAAATGATGGCGGGAGGCTATATTTAGTCCCGGGCAAGAGCCGTTTGCTTCCTAGGCTGCTTTGTTTGACCTGGTTGTATTGGCTTCTAGATCTGTCTGTTCTCCACATTTGTCTCTTCACATATTTCACTCTCCAACTATGCAAAATAAATATAGCGTTAGGTCAGGGTTTGCAAATTCAGGTGCCCCTGGGGCCAGGCAGGGAAGATGTACAGATGAGGGGAGTGCTGTCAGTGGGAAACTTGAGATCGTGTACCCACCGAAAGGGGACGATGGACACTCTGCCCTGGCCAAATGTTGCCCTACAGGAAGGTGAACTCAGTTTTGCCAAATATTGTGATTTTTCAGGATGAGCAGGAAATTGGGATCTTTAGGTGAAAAATTTACCATGTTGGCAGCAAATTCAGTTTTTTAAAAAAGCTTGCAGGCCAAACGAAAAGTATGTCAGTCACTTACCACTTCTGGTTTAGATAGAAACTATAGCAGGTCCAAATGTTACTTATTTTGGTATTTAGAATTTTTTGCTGATTTTTCAGTGCCATGTATATATAGGAAGCAAACTTTTAATTTATATAGCACTATTGTTTTTTGAGATAACAAGAAGCAGTTTGCTATGTTGTTGTGGTTGTTGTTTTTCTTGTTATACTGCTTAGCATTATTCACCATAGGGAAAAGTTGGAACCAAACCAAATATCCACTGACAATGAATGGGTAAATAAAATGTGGTATGTACATACAATGGAATATTATTCAGCCTTAAAAAGGAAGGAAATTCTGACACATGGTACCGCATGGGTGAACCTTGAAGACATTATGCTAAGTGAAATAAGCCAGTTACAAAAAGACAAATATGTATGATTCCACTTCTGTGAGGTATGTAGAGTAGTCAAACTTACAGAAACACAAAGTAGAACAGTGGTTGCTAGGGGCTGGGGGGAAGGGGAAATGGGGAGTTATTGTTTAATGGGTACAGAGTTTTAGTTTTATAAGATGAAAAAGTTCTGGAGATTGGTTACACAACAGTGTGAATATACTTAACACTACTGTGCTGTACACTTAAAGTGGTTAAGATGATGAGTTTTATGTTATGTGTATTTTACCACAATTACACATTTTTTAAAGTTATATTGTTTAACAATGATAACGCATAGGAGAACAGAACTTCAGGAAGGTACGAACACTAGAAAGAGTAATGTATGGTTAATATAAAAGAATTAACCATTTCAAGCAACAATGGCAATATCTTATGGTGTTTTAAAACTTAAGTAGAAATAAAATATATGACAATACACAAAAGATGAGGTGGGCAAATAGAGTTAAATTATTGTATTGTTCTCACATTTTTAGGAAGGGGTAAAGTACTAATTTAAGGTAAACTATAGTAAGTTTAGGATGCATATTATAATCACTGAGAGGTTAATATAAGAAATTATAACCAAAAAGTTAGTAGAGAGGAACAATGGAATAATATGATCCCATTTATATGAAGTTCAAAAATAGACAAAACCCTGAGAGAGTTCAGGATGGGGGTTACCTTTGGGAAGGGGGGTGGGTATTGACTGGATGAGGGGACATTCAACCCTGCTGGGGTGCAGTATGGGTGGTAGTTCCACAGGTGTTTACAGAGGTAAAAATTAATTGGACTATATACTTAAGATTTACTGTATGTAAGTTTTACCTCAATAAAACAGAAAACAATAAAAATTAAAAAAATTTTAAATAGCTTAAGACAAAAGTCAGCAAACTGTGGCCCACAGCCAAATCTAGCCCTCTGAATGTTTTTTAATAACTCACAAGCTAAGAAGGTTTTGTGTTTCTAGATGGTTGGAAAAAAATCTAAAGAAGTATAATATTTCATGACACGAAAATTATATATAATTCAAATTTGTGTCCGTACGTAAAGGTTTTTTAGAATAACAATAAAAAGTTATATTGTTTACAATGTAATTTCTTTGTTTCTCAGCTAATACCACTCGAATATTCCAAGGGACCAGAATTGTTAAAACAGGAGTGGTAAGTAGAGAATGGTCATTGCTTTGTCATGGCTGGTTGTTAGTTTGCACGCGGTTAAAACTGTCACCACGAGGTGGCGGTATGATGTTGTTAAACTGCTCAACGTGAAGAGGTTAACGTACAGAAAAAATTAAGTTATTCAGTCTTTATAATTCAATACATTATGAAAACAAGCTGTGCAACAGAGTGAACGCAATAGTGTTATACCGTATACTTTTTGTCAAGATAAGAATTCTCCAGATTTTTAATTATTTATTATCTGTGAGATTGTACTATGTAGGAGTACAAAGGACTGTAAAAGGTTGGCTCCAAGCCCTTCATTGGACATATGCTAAAATTCAGAGGTTGTCATTTACCCAAAGTCACAGCGATTTGTAAATTTCTGGAGCCTAGATTAATATCTAAGTTTTCCCATTTCTAGTGTGATTAATAATCACAGTGTTAATCACAGTGTTGGTAATAACAATAGTAGCCTAAAATTTACTAAGCATTTCCTGAGTTTCAGGCACAGATTATTTTATTAATCTACTCCTGGCAGCATTCCAAAAGATTGGTGTTATTATTATCCCCATTTTACAGATGAGGAAACCGAGGCTCAGTGAGTTAAAGTGATGTGCCCAGCATCACCCAGAGAGTGAGTGAGGGAGCATCAACTCAGGCCCAGGCCACTTGATGTCTCTGTCTCGAGTGCCTTATCTTATGTGGCATCTTGGTTTCCTCACCTGTAAAATGGGGTGATGATCATGTGTGCTCCAGGGGAGTGTGGCGAGCCCCGGCACATAGTTGGCACTTGTTAAGGGAACTCTCATTGTCGTCTCCTACATGGGTGTAGATTTTGCCGTGGATGAACCCGGAGACTCTGAAAGGTACAGCAGCTGTGCAGGGCTCAATGTGGAGATGCAGGGCTGTCAACCAGTTCCCAGAGCTTGCAGTGCAGAGTGTGGCTCCTGCCTCTGGCTGGGCCCCTGCAGACATGGGCGGGCTACTTTCCCCCTCTGTCCATCCACTTCCTCACTTTCAGATGGCAGAGCCAGATCCTGGAGGGCTTTTCTAGACCTAAGAGCTGTGTATTCTCCACAAGTGCCAGTGATATAAAAAAGCAAGGGCTCCTGCCTCTTCCGGCATCACCCCTGGGACAGTTGACCATCTGGTGTTGCCAGTGTATTACCTATTTGGTGTTTGTCTTTCAGCCAACTTGAATGCTACTTACTTTTTTACCACTTAGCCTCCTCCTGAGCGATATCAGTGAAAAGTTGAGATTGATCCTCTAGTTAAAATTTTTAATGCACTCAAAGTGACTGTAGAACCGTTAAGACCAGAGGTGGTCGTCCATGGATCACTTGATATCAGCTTTGGCACCATGCTTTGGGAAACCCCATGAGATAAATGAAAGACGAATAAAAACCTTTGAGGGTCATACCCAATCCTAATGACTGACACTTCTCTGCTTTCTCTTCCTCTGTCCCTTCCCCCAACCTTCCTGGGTGACCCTTTCAAGCCCACAGCGTCTCCTGCCTCTTCGGCCGACATGGCCCCCATCAGCTCGGGGTCTTCTACCTGGACATCCTCTGGCATCCCCTTCTCATTTGTTTCCATGGCAACCGGGATGGGCCCCTCCTCCAGTGGCAGCCAAGCGACAGTGGCCTCGGTGGTCACCAGCACGCTCCTTGCCGGCCTGGGCTTCAGCGGCGGCGGCATCTCCTCCTTCCCCAGCACGGTGTGGCCCACGCGCCTCCCCGCGGCCGCCTCTGCCAGCAAACAGGCCGTCAGGCCCGTCCTGGCCACGACAGAGGCCTTGGCGTCTCCAGGCCCCGACGGTGATTCGGCACCGACCAAGGACGGTGAGGGTGCCGAGGAAGGGGAGAAGGATGAGAAAAGTGAGAGTGAGGACGGGGAGCGGGAGCATGAGGAGGAGGGGGAGAAGGACTCCGAGAAGAAGGAGAAGAGCGGGGTGACCCACGCCGCCCGGGAGCGGAACCAGACCGAGCCCACCCCCGCCCCCTCGTCTCCCAGTGGAACTGCTGAGGAGGGTGGGCATCAGACTATACCTGGGCACGAGCAAGACCACACTGCCATCCCCACGGACCGGCCCGATGGCGCAAAGGGTGCCCACCCTGGCCTGGACTCCGACTCGGTCACCTCCACCCAAGTGCCCCCCACAGTCACAGAGGAACATCATGCAGGGAGTGATCCCAAGTGGCCCCAAATGCCATCTAAAAAGCCCATGTCCCGAGGGGACCGGTTTTCCGAGGATAGCAAATTTATCACGGTTAATCCAGGTAAGTGGTCCCGTCCTCATTTGAGGCTCCGTGCTGCTGTGAACAGTCTTAAAAAAATGGCGTAGGGGATGAAGATCTGGAAAGTGCTTAATATTCCTGGAATTGTATGTATCCCTAGTATAAAAGGTGTGTGTGTGTGTGTGTGTGTGTGTCTCTTCTATTCTAATAAGAATAATCTACTCTCTTATCATTGCTGGACTAAATCTTGCCTTGATATTTGTTTCCTGGCAAAATCTGCTTGCCTCAGAATAATTCCAAGGACTTCAGCATGCAATGAAGTAAATGAATAAAAAAGACATCAATCTTAAGAAGTTTATTCATTAAGATTTCATTCCTTCTTCGCATATTCAGCAGCTGTATTTATGGAGCGCCTGTTTGGTGCCAGGCGCTGGGCTGGGTGCTCACTCAGGTAAGCTTGGTGCCTGCTTCTTGGAGCTCACAGTACGAAGAAGACAGAGATGATGGCAGCTAGCTGGAGCACTTGCCAGGAGGTTAGGCAGCGGGAACGTTAGAAAGCAAGTTAGCTGGCCAGCCAGAAAACTAGCTTACTAAAGTTGGAGATTTTGAAATGGCATTAGAGGAAATAACCACGGTGCAGTCAGAAAGAATAGTGACAAGAGCAGGCACCTACCTTAACTAAGAAAGGCCAGTCTGGGGAAGTGACATTTACATTGAAACTATATGGGTGAGAGGCTCCATGGGAGAGCTGGTATTAGTCCCTGGTCCTAGCCCAAGAAGTAGGGCTCTCATCCCAGAGCCCCATTTGCCTGTGTGAATTACCCAGTTTATAGATGGTGAGACCAGGGCATGGCTGGTGTGGCCTCTGCTGTGAGGACGTGATCCCCATCACCCTGACCCGTGGCAGTTTTGTTGCTCTCTCGTGCTCCAATCTTAAGGAACCCTCCCGATAGTTTCTGCGAGGGAGCCATGAGCATGAGGGGTATGTTACTATTGTGAGGGGTTTTCTTAATAAGAAATTCTTCCTTTTGCCAGACTACAAGATGTTTAGCAACAATTTTTTTTGCATCTAAGCTGTTGTGGAGTTATAAGAGCGCAAAAAAAAAAAAAAGCAACTGGTAAATATTTATTTGCTTTTGCACTTGTAAACATTAAAATTCATCTAAAGCTGAGATCTCGTATGTTAAGATACAACTTAGAATAAATTTTCATGTTTTGAGTTACGTTCTCCTTAAAGCTGGTATGGACTCATTTTTTGAAGTGTGGGTTTCCTACGGGTGTTGCTCAGTTTGTCTTGGTCTTAGGGAAAGGTGCAGAGTAGCCGTCTGTGGAATTGAGTAAAGGAATATCAGGCCACTTGTGAAGCTGTTGGAAGCTATTCCTGCATAAACAGGGACATTCCCTCTAGGAATTGCTAAGAAAAAGTTGAACGTCTTGCATTTGAAGATTTTAAAGAAATATTTATGGAGTACCCACTTTGTACCAGGCACTGGACCAGGCACTGGGAATAGACCATAGATCAGACAGGCTTCTGCTCTCCTGGGGTTTACGTTCTGGTGGAGGATCTTGAGAATATTCCAGTAAACAAATACATAACTTCAAATAGTGTAAGTGCTAGAGTCTGGGATGGGGACAGTGTAGCATCGAGTGTCAAGGACTGACTTTTGAGCAGAGACCCAAGTGATAAGAAGGAGCTAGCCATGCAAAGATCCATGGAAGAACATTCCAGGCTGTAGGAACAGCAGGTCCGGAGACCCTGAAGTGGGGATTAATTTGGATCAGCCGAGGAGTCGTCAGAAGCCCAGTGTGTCTGGACCATAGAGAGTCAGGAGGAGAGATAAGGGATGAGTTCAGAGACAGGCAGAGCTCAGATCAAGGGGCTCACAAGCCGTGCTGAGGATTTGATTCTACTTGAAATGGAAAACCAGTGGTGGATTTCAGCAGGAGACCGACTCGTTTGATTAACTTTTTTGAAAGATCACTCAGGCATCTGTGTGTATACAGGGGAGGGAAGAGTGGACACAGGAAGCCCAGTTAGGAGGTGATAGCAATGGCGGCCTGGTCCAGTGTGGTTTTTCCACAGACAGGTGGTGGACTTGGAATTAATTTTCGAGCTTGAGGGGTTCAGCCTCTGGAACAAGGGCTCTGGTGAAGTAGTATTCTCAGCCTGCTCCTCTTAAACATTTCTTTGCCCACATTCCTGAAAAATATGACTGTTAAGAGCTTAGGTTGGGAGTGTTTACAGCTTGAGAGACTGGAGAGGAGTGAGGACCTGGGGCATGTTCCAGGTAAGTAGAAATGAGTCATTGTGATTGGAATCAAATTCCAGACTCCAGGGAAAGGGAGGAGGCACAGATAGTAAACCTTCGGGATTTCCATCTCCAGGTGTGGGGCCTGTGGGTCTCCAGCCTCAACCGTAAGGCATTGAGTGTCTGTGATCTTGGCAGAGGAGCTTTTGGAGTCAGATCACCCCAGTAAACTCTGCCCCTTATTCACTCAGGCCAGTCTTTGCTCAGCGTCCTTGTCTGTAAGGTGGGGATAACTATAGCCCTTAGTGCAGAAGGAGGTGCAGATAAATGAAGTCAACCTTGTTGTCAGTGACAAGGAAGGAGGAGCTATTTGCAGACCAAAGGCCACATAATCATAATGGTGAGGAGGCCCCTAGCAGGTCTTTCTTTTGCAATCAACCATAGACATTAAGAAGTACGCCAAGACCATGGTTCCCAGTGAACTGGCGTTAAAAACAACCTCTAAGACCTCTGGTCCATCCCTAATACTGGTAAATCAGAGTGTCTGCCTCACTACCTTTATCTCAGTGGGAAGGTTCACTTCTTCCCAAAGCAAAAAGGGATCTTGCTTTAGAATTTCAAGCAATTCAAGTTCAGAGATCAGCAAACTTTTTCTGCAAAGGGCCAGATAGTGAGTCTTTTCAGCTTTGTGGGCCATACGTCTTTGTTGCAACTACTCAACTCTGCCCTGTAGCACAAAAGCAGCCAGAGACGATACATAAATGAGCAGATGTGATTGAGTTCCAATAAAACTCTGTTTACAAAAACAGGCAATGGGCCTGATTTGATCTGCGAGCTGTTATTTGCCAACCCTTGGTTTAAGCAGACATAAGTGTGTGTATTAGTTAATAAAGGATGTGAGTAACTTGAGGGTAAACCTGCAAACTCAGTCCATGATCCCCAAAGTCTCACTTCACCTCCATTCATCCCATCTTTTCCCCGTCTGCCTCCTGCAGCTTAGTGTTTACTTTTTAAATGAAATCGCCATCATCTTACTGTTAGTGGTGACTTATGTTAAAGACTTTGGATGTACATTTGTTTGAATCTGTTCCTGGCAAACTCAGACACATACAGAAATCAGGTAATATCAATGAGAGAAAGGACCAGGTGTTATATATTAGGGAGCAGTGAGGACTGCAGCAAATTTGAGAGCACATGTTCTTTCTAAAGACAGACACCCCACTCAGTTCCAACTGACTGTTGCCAGTGAGAATGCCTAGTGAGCCAGAAATCCAGGTCTTTGTGCAGAATCGCCTAATTTTTAAGTGAGTTTAAATTTTAAGAACAGTTTTTGTTTTCTTTTGTTTGTTTTACATGTGCCAAACTAAATGCATCCCTTTGCCGGTAGGCAGGAACCACTGGTGCTTGGCGTCCACTGTAGAGTTGATTGCTATAGTTGCAGCTGCCCTGGAAGCTGATTAGAAGGATTAGAGGCCTCTGTGCAGTCGCTCTTTCTCTCACCAAGCCTTTTGCTGGCATCCGTGTAGGGTGAAGCCCTCAGCTGGATATGTGCTGCATGGAGATCCGACGTGGTCCCTCCCTCAGGAGCCACAGCCTGAACGTAGTGTAACCAACGGATGCAGTAGAATGTTTTTGGGGTGCTGTGCAGTACAACATGCCCTAGCAGAAGCATTTCGGGGTGGGCATAGTCTGCAAACTCATCATTTAGTGCTGGGGTTTTCCATTTCTGTTTCCTTAAATCAGGGAAACTCGTTTTTAAGACTAAGTCGTGCTCAGAACCCCAGCATAGAACCCGTATAGAAGTCTAATCCGGCCCATGGCCTGCTTTCGTCTGGCCCGTGAGCTCAGAATGGACAGAGCTGGTCAGAGACCTGGGGCTGCTGTTCTGCTTTGAGAAGGCTCAGCTCCAACCACCCCACTCCTCTGGGAAAACCCTGAGGTACCTCTTTGGAACCCTCAAACTCCAAGGAACCCAGCTTGAAAACCTTTGATTATAGAAAGAATAACATCACCGGTTAACATTTGTTCCGTGCTGGCACTGCCTGTGCTAAACGCCAGTCTGTGACATCACCTGTCCTGCAGTGCCCCCGGGAGGGCTGTGCCGGCATTGCTGTGTCAGGCAGGGAGGAGGCTGAGGCTCAGAAGATGAAGGAACGTGTCCCCACAACAAGCGTGTGGGAATACGGGGCCATGACTCCACCGTCCAGGGGGCTCCATCCCACATGGTGCTGCCTCCTCCCTCCTGGCGAGGGAGCTTGTTCCCTGAGTGGGCAACACGAGATGATTGCAGATGAAATATAATTAGTAAGTGAATATTTGAGTGTGTGCTTTTAAAAAGATGCCAGTTTTCCATCTATGGCAGAGGTTCTCAGCTGAAGGTGATTTCCCCCTCTCCCCACAAGGACATTTGGCAATATCTGGAAACATTCTTGGTTGTCACGACTGGGGAAGGGGCTGCTGGTGGCATCTAGTGAGTAGAGACCAAGGATTCTGCTAAACATCCTACAATGCACGGGCCGGCTCCCACAACAGAGAGTTACCTCGTCTAAAATGTCGATAATGCCGAGGTTGAGAAACTCCGATTTATGGTATTGAAGTTTCCTTTTAAAGACGTTTACTTGAGGAAGAAACTTAAGGACAAAAATAAGTAGTACAGGTCCATGAACAGTGGAGATCATGACTGCGATACCCAGCTGGAGTGCACAGTGGTGGGGAACAGTGTAGCACGCTTTATTTAAGATAAATTACACCAGGCGCTTGTAGGGACTGCCAGAAGCAGTTGTCAGCCAAGAC